ACATGATATTCCTTGGAATAAGATGAGGAATATTAGAAGGTTTATAAAATAATAAGACATGTATGAAATGGATTGTATTTTTGCTAGCTTTTCAATGAAACTTTTAATTTTACTTATACCATTATTTCATGATTACAGGTGGCTATCGAGCTGGGGCATGCAAATGTCCAGTGAGAAAAAACAGAGAGAACTTGCCAATAATCAAATGATTAATGAAGTTAGTATAACACTTTTATTGTCCATCAGTTTCATTAGAAATAAGAACTACATGGAAGACAAATTAATTTTGCATCTAAAATCTGTAAATAATACTAACATTACTTGAATTCTGTAATAGGTGCACTGCGAGGCCATGCCCTTTGTATTTTCCAAGTCAAGTGCTYCAACTGAAATCCGTCTTGCACCTTGTGCTCAGGTCACAAACTTAAGAGCAATGATACATGGTCATCTTGAAGAGAACGATAAGTAAGAACAGCAATTATTACATGTAATAGGACTCTATTATGGAGTTCTATTATTTATCAATTCAGATATTAATCTCTAGTGTCCAACTAAGAACATAATAACTGGACAGGTACCTATTTAGGAGTAATATGTGAATWTATAATTAGTGCTAATAAAGGAATCTRCAAACATGAATTTCTGCACTGTTGCTTTGCAGGCACCACAGATTGACATGGCATGACAACCTGATTCCATCGGATCAAATATGGCTGAAGTTAGGTGGAGACAAGGGAGGTAAATGTATAGTTTAAGGTCATTTTATATTATCTTGTATTCTCTTGTATAATAATACTATAAAACTAACAATACGGATACTTATTCCAGCCTATTTTTTATTAAGGGAGAATTATAAATTAATGAATTGATTAGTACAGTATATTCATCAGCAAGATGAGCTTCAAAGCACTGTGAATTTCAAACTTGATGACAACCTGATGACCCAAAGATCCAGTTCAAGATTGAGACAGTTTACAAACAGCCAGCAAGACACATTTCATACAATCATAGGCTCTTGTTGGAGCCATGACACATCTAAAAGTGAATGGTCAATGCTTTACCATTTCCTATATACATGTACATGTTCATGTATATGGAGTTTGATTCTCCATGAGAGTTCAGAACAAGAAAGTGCAAAATAAAATACATTTGAGGAGAAGATGTTTTGATTTGTGTGATATGTTAGATTTCAATATGTATAAATCCCAATTAAAACCCCATAATGAGGAAATGGAAATTGCGAGCTGGTTAATTGTTGGATTAATATGAAAAATATGCTACTTATATGAGTGATATAAAAATAGCAATAAGAAACCAAAAATTAAAATAAAATCATAAAAATAMAAAATATCATTAAAAATGATTTGTCTTAATTCTTTTTAAGGGGGAAGTTTTAAAATGGCTTTTGAACTGGCAAACACAGCAAATCCAAACTCCAACAAAAATACTGTAGTCTTCTCCCTTTTTGAGGCACCTGACAACCCACATAACATCTGCTGGGTTTGGACAGATATGTCGGGGATATAGATCACATTCAAAAAGAAAAATGGAGGCATGTACTTTTTTAACACTGTTCATTATAGCTACTATAAGATGTCATGTTTGAACCAAAATGAACCCTAAAATGTAAATTAATTTGTTTTCATAGAGAATATGTGCTAAAACCTTTTGTTTTTGGAGATTATGAATTTTTGTGTGAATTGTAWGGGATTTCCGGTGCAAGTGGTGAGTATATATTATATAATGCATAACCAAATAGTAGAATTATTTGCTTAAATTATAGTGGGAAATATATGCAACTATATGWAAAAAAWAATTATAAAAAAGAAAAGAATCTACTATGTGTTGCCAAATGCCAGTGCATTGATTTAATTTATAGCTTTTAAAGGTCTATCAATATTTCATAGTGTAATTAAACATGAAACCTGAAAAAGCATAAATTATAATTATATATYTCCTAAATTCAGGAAGGCACCCATGACTTTGGTGTGAAATCACCAAGGAAGAAATGTCCAAGCCYAAGTCCAAGCCGTTCACTAAAGTCACTGAAACAGGACAATATCCGATACAAGAATGATGGATCCAAATTAGCTAAAGCTAAGCTTTTCAATAACGCCATACGACCACCTCTTTTGAATGTCCCAATCGATCAAGTATGTATAGTTTAATTTAAATAGTTATTTCTTAAATTATTTGATTACACTTGTGAACGAATGCATGAAAATCAATAGCATTACATAGGATTTGCAATAGAATTTTAACTTAAACTCACCTTTTCAAGTTTTTTTATTGAAATGTAGGTTTGTATGCCTGGTTTGCATATCAGCATAGGTGTTTTTAATAGACTGTTCCTCYTTCTACAACAAGCATTGTACAGGATAGATAATTGCATAGCTGGTTCCCTGAGAAGAGTAAACGTATACAGGTTCACATTCTCATGCATGCTGGTATTACCGAACTATTATTGCTTTTAATTTTGAAGAAAATAATGAAATAAAAAGTGTTCTTCATTTTGAAAAAAAAGTCTATGATAAAGTACATGTATTTCACACAAAAGTAATTATATAAAGACTATACATGTATACAGTATTTGGATTGTATGAAATTGACCTTCCTGTAGTTATCATAGCACATTCTCATATTTTTCAATAACCTCAGAGCATACATCTTTTATAGTATTAATCGATATATTTTCATTAAAACAATTTTATGTGATTTTCATGTTTTTTCTTAATTAAGTTTATAATAATCAACCTGTAGAATTTAAACAACTTTCATTGTATTGCATCTGATAAACAATTATATTTACATGTCATGACAAATGTTTCAGTCTGTGAGAATGAAGCATCCTTCAACATTCTGAACACAGAGACAGAGGGAGATGACGAACAACAACTTTTAG